TATTGTATCTTCCCAGCCGGCTCTTTTTTTCTCCTCCTCCAATACTTTCTGAAATGTCGGACATTCCGAATCCAACGCCTCGTGTTCAACATTTATCTTCAAGTTGTATGTCTGATTCTTAAAGGTACAGTTTACACACCTCTTCTTTGCCGTTGTACATTCGTTCGCCTTATGATTTCCTGCACATTTATAGCATGTTTCTTGTCTCGTGCAATTCTTGGCAATATGATAATATCCCCAGCATTTAAAACATCTTCTAACACTAATGTAATTAAAGATCGGACACTTTCGCCATCCTAAATTTATCTTTCCTCTGCTTATTAGTGATTTATGAGTGCTTTCATCCGCTTCGATTATTACGGATCCTTGCTCAATATTCTTATTTTTTCCTCTTAAAATTTTCTTCACTAAGTGCATACAGCATTCCTCGCCAATTCTATTCTGCTTCTTGATTATATCTAACAATTCATCATCCTCCATTTTCATTTCCTCTCCACCAACATTAATTATTTTAATCTTAGGTTTCCTCTTCTGTGGCTCCGAGACCTTGACCTCCTCACCCATTGCCGCTTGTACCGTCGCCTTTAGCTTTTCCTTCTCTTCTTCCGTCTCACATCCTAAGATCACTGTTCCTTTACCTCCTTTTCTTAATTTAGTAATTCCTATTTCCATTTTGGTTATATCAATTTTATCTTTAATTATTTTCTTCGTAATTTCACTCTCTTGTTGTACTTTAGGTTTTATAATCAAGATATTTTCCTCCTTCCTGTCTTTAATCACGTCGCTATATTTTCTTGACGCTCCACCAGATGGTCCATATGCCCCTTGCATCCACATTTTTCTTAATTCTTCTAATTCCTGTTTAATGCCTCCCATCTCCTCACGAACTATTTCTTTTACCATTGACTTGATCTCCTTTTTACATGCTGTCTCATCTTTTAATTCTTTCACTGTTTTTACAAGCCAATCTATTTTTCTATCAATATCCCCTGTTCCACTCGCGGCTGCTACTTTCGGACTCATTTTTGCAGGTGCCGTTGCTCTTCCTGCTGCTGCCACTGCTTTATTTATATCAGCTACTTTATCACCATCACTAATAATTAACTTCTCGAACGGGCCAGGACACGGCACCAATTCGCGTTTTCTATCATAAATTTTGTGCTTAGATACACAACCTGGATGGTAGAAAAGCTTAGCACAGGACTTGCATGCTATCACCTCCGTTTTTATCGGCTTCTTACATGCCGAGCATCGATACTCGGCGTATTCCTCGTTCATTTTGCTAATATCGGCAGAGACAGTTAATTGACTCGTCACTTTAACACGTCACTTTCACACGTCAGCGTTTTGTGTTCGCCGCCGATGTCTACCTGTCGTACGAGGCTTCGATGACCTCTGTACAAAATGCAGTTCTCGTGTCTATGTATCAACATATTCCGGCTAGATAACACTCATGGCTACCCCCGGTCTATGCAGATATTCGTTACACAACTTTTTAACACTCTCCCTCACTTCTAAACCACTCAAAAATTCACACTTTTACGGAGCGATGTTTCACGCGTCTGCTTCTGCTGAGAGAGAGAGAGAGAGAGAGAGAGAGAGAGAGAGAGAGAGAGAGAGAATGAATGAATGAATGATATTTATTATGCCCTAGTTAAACTTTAGGCAAGAAGTTTAAAATACAAAGATAACAAGATTACACGATTATAAGCAAGCGACATAATTACTCGCTCGAACCCAACGGTCTGCCAGCCGAGCTTTGCACATGATCATGCAACGTTAGACATCCTTAGAGCTACTAACAAGTTTTGTAATTAATATGTCTTCGCGCGAATATTATGTTTACAAGTAGAGGCAATTTGTAGCGACAATTACAGCTTTGAGTTCTTACCTTAATACACTTAATTCAGCTTTGACTTTGAAACTTAAAAACTAAAAAGTATTGAAAACAAAACTGCTGTTGGCAGCTGTTGACATGTAGAAAAATGCAATTAGAACATAAGATTCGATATGTGCGCAGGAAGATAACTCAAAAGAGAATCGCGTTACGTTTCCTCGCTAAAATCTATACTATTTACTATTTACAATGTACGCGGCGACTAGCTCTGCAGGGGATAGGCACTCCTCTCCAGTGAGAAGAGGTAATCGTGGAGTTTGGATTTGAAAGCGGCAACAGACGTAGCCGACACCACCTCGATAGGAAGTGAGTCCCAGAAATAGATTCCTGCGAGGTGAAAGGAATTATGGTAAGTTTCCGTTCTATGGATAGGAATCTGAAATGTCTGAGGGAGAGCCAACCGTGAGGATCGCCTTACCGAAGGATCGAATTCGGTAAAGATTTCGGAAATGTAATTGGGAGACAATCCGTTGGCCACTTTGAACATTTCGACTCCGAGGAAGTAGAGACGTCTGTTTCTCACAGACAGCCAATTAAGTCGATGACGAAAGGAGGTAATGTGCTCATCTCGTCTCAGGTTAAAGATAAATCGAATTGCACAATTCATGAGCCTTTGCAACTTTGTGTTGAGCTCGTCAGTGACGTCATTGTAGACAAGCGAGCAATAGTCAAGCAGCGGCCTAATCAGAGTGGACACAAGCTTTATGCGTACCTGGAGTGACAGCGAGTTTTTGTGGAATTTTAATTTGTGCAGCGTGAAGTGCACTCGCTGCGAGATGTGCGAGACGTGACTCTTCCATGAAAGGTCAGATCGCATGATGACTCCCAGATTCCTCGCCTCATGAACATATGGAATAGAGGTTCCATTTACTGATATAGAGATAAGGTTACTAAGATCGATCTGCTCTACGTTGCGCTTACTTCCCAGTATAAGAACCTTAGATTTGTTGAGATTGAGGGTCAACCCATTAGTGGCCGCGAATTCCGCTATGACTCTCACGTCGTGCGCCACGAGCCGTAAACCCGTGTTCAATTCGCGTAAGAGGCACCTGCGGTAGATCTGCGTGTCATCAGCAAATATCATGTAATGGGTAAACCGCAGAAATGCCCCTATGTCGTTGATGAACAGGGAAAAAAGAAGCGGCCCCAAGACAGATCCCTGCGGGACTCCTAGAGTGACGGATAACCACTCAGAGAAAATGCCCTCGAGATCGACGACAGCCTGAGTGCGACCGGTGAGATAAGAAAAGATCAGCTTAAGGGCCAAATCGGAGAAACCTAGCTTCCTGAGTTTTTTCAGTAATAATGGATGCGAAACGGTATCGAAAGCCTTACTGAAATCGAAGAGGACCAATATGCTGATCTCGCCCAGATCAACAGCTCTCCTGATATCATGAGAGATACGAAGTAGAGCAGTCTGGGTCGAGTAGCCCTTGCGGAAGCCTGACTGTCGGTCATCCAGAATGCGGTTGGTGGTAATAAAGTCCACGATTTGGCGGTGGATGATCTTCTCAAATAACTTGGAGAGTTCACATAAATTGGTGATAGGTCTTGTGTCAGTAGGCGAGGAAGGTGTCTTGATTTTAGAGAGAGGGCGCACTATGGCGCGCTTCCAGAGCGATGGAAAGTAGCCGAGATTAAGGCAGCAATTGAATAGAGAGACCAGAAGGTTTCCCATATGGGGCAAAGCTAAGGCGATAGTGGATGAAGGCAATTGGTCATAACCCGAGGCGAAGGAAGAGGAAGAAGGATCGACTACTGAACACAGGCTGTCAAGCGTGATTGGAGAAAACGAAAACCGCGGTTCCTCAGGCGTTACGGATAGAAGAATGTCCGAGAACTCAGTCTGCGAGCAGGAGGGGAGATGATTCGATATTGAAGCGTAGTAGGAGTTAAGTACGTCCCGCGAAAAGAAGCTTAGAGGTGAGGGAAGGGACGATTGGATAAGACCAAGGTTGGAAAGCTCCCGCCACATCTTAGACGGATCTGAAACCGAGCTTAATCTCGCCATGTGGAACCGCTCTCTAGCCTTCCTTAAGTCAAGTGTGAGATTATTTCTATAGTTTCTGTAAACTTGAAAATCGAGAATGCTACCTGACCTGCGCGCAATATTGTAGAGCCGATTGCGGTGTCTAATCCTGTCAGTGAGAGCAACAGAAAGCCAGGGTGCTGGGGGACGAGACACGCGGAAAGTGTGGATTGGAGCATGCTTGTCTAAGCTAGCAGTGAAATCGTTGGTGATAGTATTAAGGAAGTTGTCTAATTCCGACTCACTGGGGCTCGATTGACTGAAGTCCTGTGCGAAAGACGCCGACAGCCTAGCGATGAGCGTTTCAAGGAAACTATGCTCCTCGAAATCCCTATAACAGCGCCTCGTCAACGTCCGGCTCTTAAAAGAGGAAACCCCGAGCGCATACGTTAACTCGATTAGATCGTGACCGTTGATGAAGGGAGCATTTGACTTGCTAAACGATAACACTTTGTCTAGATTATCGACTAAGAAGACGTCGAGCCATGAATCAGAGGAAGCAGTGTGGAAGGTCGAATTTGATTCGACAATGTGAAGCGACAGCTGCATGGCCACGTCTCTCAAATGATTGGATTCGTAAGAAGATGTGAGGAGATTGCAGTTTAAGTCGCCGGTGATAACAATGTTTTTGTAATTGTGCAATACTCCAGTAAGCGCGTCTACATACTCGTCGAAATTTCTACCCTTGGGTCTGCGATACATCGAGGTGAATAAGAGAGGCTCCCGCATGCCATCGCGAACCTCGAGAATGAGATATTCCGGCGCATTCGCGAAAGCAGGAGGAGATGAGGCAAGGACACGCGCTCTAAGCGACTCGTGAACATAACAGGCCACCCCACCTCCCTCCCTGCCCTCTCTGTCGGCACGGACCATGTAGTACCCGGCAATTCGCACCAGATCGTCGGAAATATGCGAGTGAAGCCAGGTTTCAGAGATTGAGACAATGTGAAACGATTTAGATGCTAAAAACGCCTGAATCGACTCGAGATGGGCAGGGAGGGAGCTGGCATTGAGGTGAGCAACCTTGAGACAGTCATGTGGGGCAGCAGGAACCCGACACACACCCTCCTCGGGTCACTGAAGCTCCGCGAAATCAGCGTCGGAAGTAATCAATATAGGAGGCTGTCCACGGTCTTTACGGACGAAGATCCTACCATCCCTGCTCCACACATGCCTGTAAGAAGATTGCCTTGCTCTCACCCTCGCTTGACGCAATAAATTGTAAGTGTCGGCCGGGAGCAGCTCGTTTACATATACGCTGCCCGAGGCACCACTCCCAAAAACATCGCCCACCGACAGTCGTCGTCTTACACGCATCACTTTGAGAACGTGATCCCGAATCTCACGCGACTTGAGCGCAACTATCACTGATCTCCTACGATTAGTCGCCTCGGCCCGCCCGTCAGAAGCCGAAGCCGAAGCAACGCTCGACGCTCCGACTGCCCCGACCGACACACCACGCCTCACCGCATCACGGGTCTCCAGGACGTCGGTGACAAGTTGAGGAATACCCAACGCTGTGAAGACGCTTCTGGCTATCACACCGGAAGCTTCAGTAATCTCGCTCGGAATACCCGAGATAATGATATCCGACGTTCTGGAGACCGACGATGCAGCAGACGACTCGCAAGCCACACGCTGAGCGCTCTCCAGTTGGGCGCTCCGAGCCTCCAAAGCCGCTATTCTTTCACCGTGATCCTTCGCGATTTTCAAAATGTCTGGTAATTGGTCAAGTTTACGCGCGAAGTCAGCGTTCACGGCCTCTTGGCGATCGATAAAGGCCGATATTTTTTTGTCCGATTTCTCGAATACAGCAGTAAACTTTTTGTCGAGTTCGTCCAGCCTGGCTGCGAATTTTTTGTCAGATTCTTCGATTTTAGACAGAATTGATTGCAGCAGCACATCGGTGGTCGACGAATGCGCACCAGGTGAAGCAGTAGCCCCCACACCCGGGGAAGCAGAACTGCGAAGATCAATGGATCGAGGTGCCTGAGTGTCCCTAGGCGTTAGCGGCATTTTGGACAAGCGCTCCCTACAGCAGTCACCGGCAGACTTAGTGACAAGATAAGCCCTGACGCAACCAGGGTGGAAGGCTCTTCCGCACTCCACGCACGACTCGAACAGACCGGCAATAGATTTGGAGCACCTGGTGCAAATTCGCTGCATAGATCCAGATATTGATACTATGGTCGGAAAAGCGAGATGACGGCAGGTGTCACTATGCGCGCACAATCTGGGTGGCACGCCTGTGCGCGGTGAAGGTGGCAACACGCTAGCACCGGCTTAGTTCGCTCGAAAGGTGGCACACATGCGCGCGTACAGGTGCAAATGTGAGGCGCAGAAGGAGCAGACAGGCAGGAGCGTGCGCAACGAGAAGTAGTGGAGCATGCATAGAAAGGCAGGCGCATGCGCAGCAGGGCAAACGCTCGGCACGGTAGATTCCAAGAGTTCCTCGATGATTCCAGGAATGAGGTTAGGATGAACAAAGGATCTTGTCACGAAATTTCTCGGAATTGAGTGGCCAACTCCAAGTAGAAGAATATGACTCGTGACAAGCAACAAAAGATTCGCTCGATTCTGAAACAAAAACGCCCGGAGGCAGCTTGCGGCAGCGAAAGAGTTCACTAATGCAGGAGCAAAGCACAAAGACAACCGCCGATACTCACACAGAGAGAGAGAGAGGGGGAGAGAGAGAGAGAGAGAGAGAGAGAGAGAGAGAGAGAG